TAATGCAAGGTCATCAAACATACTCAATTCAGAAAGAAAAATGTTCACGTGTATTCATGTATAATATACATGGTAGACAGTTGCCTCCCAATATTATACTTCTCCTTTTGTTTAAACCCTGATTTTCCTCTGAGCACATTGCCATCAGAATAAAGACCACCTGTCTCACCTTCCCTTGCAGTTAGGAGAGGTCATATGACTCTATTTCCCAGCATCCCTTGTAGCCAGATGTGGACGATGAGATGTAAGCAGAAGTACTGGGGGAGATCTGGAAAGAAGCTCCTTACAAGGGAAGGTGTGAACTCCACTAGCCTCCTTCCACTTTCTTCTACTGCCAGCCTGGAACATAGACATGATGGTGGGAGCTCTAGCAGCCATTTTCGACCTTTAGCGTATCTTGAGGATATAAGTCAGTTCTAGGATAGTGGGACAGAAAATTAGGAGCTTAGGTCCCTGAAAACACCATGAGACTGCCACACCAGCCCTGAACTGCCTACCCTTGGACTTCTTTTACCTAGAAATGAATGAAAGAATGAATGAATGAGCTTCAAACTTTTTTCAGCTATGTTTATTTTATTTATTCAGATATGTTTATATATTTATTTATTTATTTTATTTATTTACATTATTTATTTATTCTATGTGCATTCAAACTTAACTCTACACTTTGGATATCTAGGTAAAAGTAGTTTAAGCCCACCTTCCCTCCAGTCTATTGCATATGAAGTCTAAAGCAGATGAGAATCAATCCATAGCATCTGAGAGTCCAAAGCCCTCTCCAAGATACCTGTGAATCCCCGAGCTTGTGTTCTCCTGGTCCCTCTGCCTCTGTGCTTGTTTCTACTTGTGCCTTCTTGGCTCTGCCCTGCTCTGATCCAAACATGAAACTCATTCTCCTCATTGATTTCCACAAAAATTCGCTCAGGATCTGGGCAAAGTATCATCTCTCACATGGCACAGCAGACAACTTACAATCCACGTCAGACCTTCCTATTAGCTCAGGTCTTTTTTCCACCCACCTCCCAGCACTTCTCTCTTGGCTCTTCAGCCAGGAAAATCCCAGTGTCTCATCTGTCGCTGCTTCTTCCTTCTGTCTCTCTCATTTCTCTGCCCCCACCCTCTTCTTTCTGGATTACGTCCAAATTCTTCTGCCTCGCTTATAAAAAGCAATTCACTCACTACAGATCATTTTCCCAAAATTTCTATCAGGTGCCCAGCAGACAAAAGAAGTTATATTTAATAGAATTCATCCTCTTTAGAAGGCACTTGTAGTTATAAATAGCATACCTCTGCCAGTGGGTGTGAATGTATCTCTAAAAATCTCAAGAACCTCGAAGTGCATGAATGAGTGGGTGGGGTTTGTGAGGCGCGGGAAAGGAGTGTTGGAGCACAGATCCTGTTGCGTGTCTGGGTCACTTTGCACTGCTGCTGGGCCATCCATTGCTACACTATTAATGCACTGAGGATCATTGGCTTACTTCCTGGTGGTGGTCTCTTACTGCTGGAAGCTACCAGTGAACCTCTTAAGAGATGGGTTCCTGGGTCTCCACACTCTCTCCCAGCATGTGGTGACTTCCCATATTACATAGCAAGTTTCCCTCCCACCAGTGATAGGACCAGTGGCTGGCCACTCCTCCAGGATTTTCTGAATTCCTACTTTGTATCTACTTACATGCATTACTAAAATGGAAATCCCTTGAAACGTTCTTAGAAAATGTACAAAGCAAAACATGTCAAAATTTCAATAATGCTTGAGAAGGATAATGCTTCTCAAATATTTATGCTTAGCTTAGTTTATGGTTAGCTTTAAATTTATCTAATATTTGCTGTTAGGTTTTTTTCACTCATGTTGCCTCTTTAATTCTCACAGTTTTCCTATAATATTGGCATTATAAACCCCATTTTATAGTTAGATCAATTGATACCCACAGAGGTAGATCAGCTTTCCCAAGGGCACACAGCTAGTAAGTGGTGAAGCCATATGAAGATGTAGGTTTCCCCAAACCTAAGCCCAGAACTCTTTTAATGAGCTGACCTGCACGCTTGTCATGGATTAATTTACCATTTCCCTAGCACAGAACAGACAGAAGATTGAACAGAGCTAGAATAAATAAGTTCCGACTGGGAGGAGAGGGTCACAAGAGGGTCTAGGCTTGGTAGGTCTGAACCGAGGACCACTGTAGAGAATCATGGGAATCCAAAGGTCCACAAGAAGAAATTTTGGTGTCAGAAAGAGGAGAAATTCAAAGAGAAGAGACGCTTTTGTGACGGCGCTAGTTTCTACAATATCTCCTGTCACGCAGGTCATTTTTTTTTTCTAATTAAAGAACTTGCAGTGAATAAGATGGTCGAGGCCAATGCAGATCAAAAAATAATCAGGAAGCATATTCAGACAGAACAAACCAGAACCACAAGTGTAATATTTGGTAATTATAAACCCTCAGCCTTCTGCTGCAGAGGGACAGACTGTAGTTTGAATCAGAACTCTCCAAGTGGAGTAAGGAATGAAGTGCTTCAAGGAAGAAATCTCATTCCCAAAAGCAGATTTTGAGAAAATCGGAATTGGAGCATCTGACAGCAGGGTCGTCGTACAGGGTCCAACTAGTTGTTATAAAACACAGGTAGGTCCAGGGTCTCTCAGCAAGTTGTGCAGAGATCCTAGGTCATTTGCACTCAATGCTCAATAGACAAAGGCAGCCCTGGAGGGGGAAATGAGACCAGCCAGTCTGAGGGGTGTCTGTGCAAATGGAAGGAGCCCTCCACCTTGGTGACAAGAGGGAGGTTTTGTTTAGTGGCGTAAGGGCACATGCACTTGCTTCAGCATCAGTTAACAAAATCGCTTCCTGATTTCTGTGTTCCTCTTTTGACCCTGCCCAGTAAGAATGCACCCTTCAAGCATGAAAATCACTTCCATTTACGGAAAACCCACTGTGTGTTGGATACTGTCATGACATATCCCTACAACTGAGGAATCTCGCCCCTGGAAATGGTAAGGGCCGTGCTCTGTGCTGCACAGCTAAGCCAGGGCTTCCCCGTGTGGCCAGCCCTGAAGCCTGAGCATACCAGGCTGTCTCAGGGCTCACCATCCCTGAGGTGGTTGTGGGTGGAACTACCTGGGTCATGTACACACGACCAAGGGTCTAAAACTTGCACACAGCTTTACACTGAGAAATTCCTCTCACTTTGAGATTTTCCAGGCTTGCTCACAGCTATAAATCTAGGCCAGGAGAACCTCAGGAGGCCCAGATCCTGTGCTAAATACTCTTCCAGAAGCTGTCTGAAGATTCCTCACCAATCTAGCAAACTAGACTATGCACTCCTGGAGTGCTGCTCAGCACACAGAAAATGTTCAGTAAATGCTGCCTCTTCCATCCAGTCCATGCTGTTTCCCCACATCTTGGCCTGCCACTACCATGGGTGTTTTAGAATTCTCTGGAACTCAGGCCTGGGGTGCAGATTTCATCACACACCTACTGGGATAATAACCAAAGCTTTGACTTACTAAGCACTTACTTCTTGCCAGGCACACTGCTTTATCGTTTGGATACATCATCTGTTTTAGTCCTTCCTGCAACTCTATAAGACAGATATTATTATCCCAATATAAATGAGGAAATCAAAGTGCAGAAAGGTTTCATCGCTGACTTAATACATTACTCAGAAGTAAACAATGGCTATAATATTTGAACATGGTCTTTTTGTCTTTGCAGTCTGTGCTCTTGATCACTCAATTATCCTTCCTCCTTAGGAAGACTCTGGAACTTCTCTAGGCCCTGACCCCTGTGCTGGTCCTGGTGACCTCCAGAGCTTCCCTTGGTCACAGGGTCAGGGAGCTTGAGAACCAGCAACTCAGCCTCAAAGGATCCCACAGGCCCATGGTGACCAAGGACATCCATGGAGATCCACGGAGGTTGGCTGGCCCAACCCGTGCTGGGGGATAAGGAGGGAAACCCTCTGCGGGGTGATATCTCTGGTGCAGATTCAGAAATTTGACTAATTGGCATCTGTTAAACTAATGCTTACACAAGAAATCTTCAAACTGTAAAAATTGGTATTTTCTACATTCTGGAAAGAATACAACTCTAAAATTCTGCCTGCTACTTAAAACACTATTCCCTAAGTAAAAGCAGGAGGAGGAGGAGGAGCAATCACTAGCAAGTTTGATAGCTTTCATATTTTATAAAGTTCATAATAAACTTTCCTCAAAGCCTGAACAGGGAGAATAAAACTCACACGACTCCTGTGCTTATCTAGACTGGGGCGCTCTGGCCCATGCCCTTATCTCATCTGAGAAGGGCATATGACTCTGCCATATCCTGTTTTAGAACAAAGCATTTAGATTACATGTCTTTTCTCTGTCTATGATCTGGCTCAGTTTTTTTTCCCTTCTAGAAAAACAGCATTCAGTTCTTGTCTTCAAAACAGAAAATCAGTCTCTTAAAAATGAACAAATCATCCACAGGTGGGAAATATAAACATTCTTTGAAAATCTGGAGAAAAGAGATGCATCGTGCCCGCCAAGTAAATACTGATAGGTTAAGTCTAGCACATCTTTTTTCTTATTGGATTTAAAACCCAGCCATGCCGACTGTCCGTTACTGTCTGCATCACTCATTTTCTGCACACCAAATGAAAAGTCTTGAGAAAACTTGACCCTTCCAGGAATAATCCAGCTTCTCCAGAGGAAAATAACGACTTGACTGGAATATTCTTTAGCAACAAAATAAGGAGCCCAACCTCACTATAGAAAGCTGTCTAGAGCAAAACAAAATAACTTCTGGATAAAATAAGTTATAATTTCTATAATATGTGGAGGTTGCTGATCAAATTGCTAAAGGGTTGTGTGTTTGTGGGGTTTTTTTTTTTCTTCGGTTTTAGTTTTAGTTTGGTTTTGTTTTGCAAGAACGAAAGGGGAAGGGCCTCCCAACCACCCCACAGCACGATTCCGGCAAGACTCGAGGTTCCTGAGGTTTAAGGCCACTGACTTCAGCCGGCGAGCGCAGAAGTGCATATCGTTGCCACTGCTGCTACTTGAGTTTCTCCTTTTCCTGAAGTTTTTAGGTCAGAAGAACTGCATACCAGGGACTCCCTCCAGCTCTTCCCAGACCCAGGCCTGTGTGGCTCTCTCTCAGGGTTCTACAATAGTGAGGAGCAAGTCTGTGAGTGTTCGTGGTATCTTTATTCTCTTCACACTTATTGAAAAGTGTGTATGGGAGAGTGTGGTGTGTGTGTGTGTCAGAGGACAGAAGAGAAAGGCAGAAAGACTCATCGATTCTGCGGCCTCAACTTCAGCCTCCCTTAGCCAGCAGCTTCTGTAGCCAGGCTGGTCTCTCCTGGCGCATAGCTCCGAGATGAAGGACCGTTGGAAAATCCTTATGGCGGCTCCTCTGTTGCTTCTCCTGCCCCTTCACACCTCGGCCTCTCCAGCTTACGATGACCAGCCTGCACGACACTCCGATGGCCACACTTGTGTAGGTACGTAAATATTTTGTGTATTTTTTATGTGGACGTAACAATAGAATCAAATACTTGGCCTGCATAGTAAATCACCTATTTAATGACATCAATAGCTATAAGATTCCAAGTAGGGCACAAATAACTTCACCAACATAGAAAAATTTTGAGTCTTAGAATGAGCATTCACACTATATGCATGTATGTATGTATAGAAGTGCCCTATACAGTTGCTAGTTTGAATTAATCATAAAAGTCTTCCACTTCATTGGTGGTTGGAATTTGTTTCCCGTGGATAGGCAACTGTAAGAGCCCAAAATTCTCAGCCCCTTTCAGGAGATTAGGCAGCATCACACAGTGTAAAGAACATGAGATTTGACTTCAGACAGACACATCTGAGTTTGAATTGCTGCCACCCTCTCCTCCTCTGCTCCATCTCTTACTGTCTTTGAAACCTTGAGCAAGTTACTTAACCCTTCCATTCCTCTGTTCTTATTGATGAAATGGGGCTAATAACACCCACTTCACAGGGATGCTGTAAGAATTGAGATCATGCATGTAAATTTATGGTATTTACACACAGTAAGGATTCCAACAGTCTTAGTTTCTCTTTCTCTCATGGAGTCTAGAGTTGGCTGTACTAGGACAGTCATCTAGAAACATTGAACATTGACTGAGATATGGCTCCTTCACTTATCTTTTATTGAAGTATTTTATTTCCAAATTGTTGTTCTTTTTTGTTTTGGGGGTTTTTTTGGAGAAGAGTAAAAGTGGGGTAAGACTTTTGTTATTCATATTGCACCTGGAGCTTCCAGAACAGTGGCGGGCATTTCAACAGGTCAGTCCGTGAAGCCAGGGAGACTCAGAACTCTGAGTAGCAATTACTAAAGGAGTAGATCTCAAAATAGACTCTTGGCATAAGAAGCCTGAAAAAGAACCCAAGGGGTTACTGGTGGCCATGGCTTACAAATGGAAAACCAGGACACAGATTCTGACACATATGAATTATTTCTGAAGACAGCACAGAAAAGTATCTGAATTATTCCTAATTCCTAAAAAACCATGACATACATGTTAAGGAACATGTCTTTAGTTTCAAAGTTTCCTTTTAAATTAAAACCTTAAGACCCAGATTCTCTGCAAATCTATTGTTTACAGGTCTGGAAGCAGAGGTCTGTGGTCTCATTGGAACCATGACTGGGAGGTCATCCTCACCCACTACTGGTTCCATCGAATAATTATTTACCACCATTTCATTTTTTCAAAGCAATACCCTAAAGCCTGTCAAATGGAAATACACTTGCAAAAGGTTTAAGTGAAATCAGTTCTACTTCTAGGATGGTTGCAAATTAAACTTTTAGATTTAGGCAAGTCTCCTGAGATGCTTGGGCCTCCACCTCTATAAAGTGGATATGATATACTCGTTTTCTTCCCTGTTCCATTCCCAATGAGGCATAGAGAGTTAGAAGGAAGGATTGAGGGGATTCAGGATGAGGTTGTTCTGGTTATCTATTACTACATAACAAATTTAAAAATAACCAATTTGTTATATCATGATTTTGTGTGTCAAGGATTTTTCAGAGCCTGGCTGGTTATTCTTCTGCTACATGTAGGGTTGACTGAGGTCACTAGGTGGTATTCAGATGGTAGATTGATGGGTCCAAAATGATCCAAGACAGCTTCACTCACATGTTTGGCACATTGTTAGAATGTGATGGTTAGAAGGTTGGCTCAGCTGGGAATGTCTATCAGAGCTTTTACACTTGGCATCTCCAACAGGGCAGTCTCAGGATAGTAGGATCTCTTACATAGCGGCTCAGGGAGCCCAGAGAGAGCATTCCAAAAGACATGAACTAGAAGTTGCCAATCTCTCAAGGCTTGGGTCTGAAAATTGGAACAACATCACTTCTGCCATCTTGTATTGGTCAAAGCAGTCACAGGTCTCTCCACTCAAACTCAGGGGAGGGGAAACACCCCACTCTTGATGGGAAGTGTCAAGGAATTTGTGTTCATTTCTGTTAGCCACATGGGCTCACTTTGGTTGTCCATACAAATCCTCCATGGCCCCAAGAACTTGGAGAGTCTGTTGCTGATCACATTTGATGATGGTTTAGCACCCATTTTCCCACCAACTCACGACTTCTGGCAAACTCTGCTTGGATGACTTATTTCCCCATCGTCATCATAACAAGAAAGGTGGGTGCAAGAGGAGTCCGTCATGTGATCAGTGTTTACTGGGCACTGACTATGTGCTAAGCCAGGTGCTACAGGTGGTCCAAACCAGTGTCTTACTGTTCAAAGGTGGTTTTTTGGGGTAAACAGACTCAGAAATGTGTGTGCAGGGGAGTTTATTGAGAAGTGCTCTGGGGGAAAACACCTGTGAGGGAGTGAAGGCAGAAGGAGTGGGCAGAAGGAGAAGGTGGGCTATGCTTCAGCCACAAAAAAAAAAAAAAAATTGCTGCAGTCAATCCCACAGAGAGCTCTGGAGCTAAAATGGCTCTTCAGAGTTGTAGGTGGACGTGAAGTGGGTCCAAGCCTTGGAACCCCCACATTGGACAGTCATTGGATGTGAACTGGCCCCAGGGGCCGAGCTCCCTTTGGTGGAGGCAATGCCTGGAGAGGGACTCAGTATGAGCCCTCAGCACCAACACTCCCAGTAGCTGGGGGAGTGAGTGTGTCCTGAAAGGAAATCAGGGAGCGTCCTTACTCACAGGGCCAAATGTGGGAAGTGCCCAAGGAAGCAATGAGGTAAGCTCGCTCACAGCTGGTGGAAAGAGGAAGAGCCTCGTGCACGAGGCAGGAGAAGAGAAGGAATTGCTGGTTGGGCTTCTGCTAGCTACTTTCTGATGAAAAGCAGGACTATATGACTTCAAACTCATTGGCACAGAGCCATTTCCCAAACATTCCCACATGGTCACTCCCCACATGGTCACTGAATGGCTACCATATACCAGGCCCTGTGCTCTGAGCCAGAGATGCAAAGATGAGCAACAACAATAATTTTTAAAACCTCTCTGGCCTCAGGAAATTCACTGTCCAGTTTAGAGAAAAATGAGAATCTGGAGTCTTGTAAAGATTGCAATCCTTTAAAATGAATGACTAACTGAGCACATGGTACACTGGATAATACCCCATTTCTCAGGAATCCTGTGGACTGCAGTGGCAGTGGCAGCGCCGGCAGAAAGCCATGAGCAGGGGGCAAAGGCAAACATCTTCAAAGCAGACAACTGCTAACTGTGCTCACCATATTCACAAAGTCACCAGAGGAAGGCGAAATGAAAGCTTGGGTGAAAAGGGAGAGGAATGTGGTAAAGTTTTAGAATTTTAGAAATGTTTCTACCCAAATATTGCCAGTCAAAGAAGGAAACTTCAGTTATCTCAAAGATTCCATTGCAGTTGCCTCCCTCTTGGATGATCCTGAGCAACAAAGACTTCATTGAGAAAAGTTGATCAGGCAATTGGATTTCTGATCATCCAATTGAGCAATAAGGAATCACCCTTGTTAGTTGTCAGCTACCTTTTAATCACTTTTCCAATATAAAGTTTTACCTTGATCATAATAGTATGCCCTTGCCTTGATTATAAGATCATTATAAAATAAAATATCTATAGTCACCTTCTCAACACGTATCAGTAGTTCTGCTTTCCTATTTTTCATGGAGTTTAATTGAATTAATTGGGTTCCATCCGTTTTTATGAAGATGCACATTTAGTAATCATATTTGTTACCTACTCATAGTTTTTTTGCTACTGGTCTGCAGCCATTCTTGCAGCGCCCCCAACACTGCCCCATGGGGCAGCTGCCCTGCGTCTTTTCTCTGAGTTGAATCTGGAGTCACAGGAGTGATGTCTGGGGACAGTAATTGTATCCAAGGAAAGGATTCTTCAGCCATAACAATTACATTTGTAAGTTAGTAATTAGAAGATTGCTAACATTTATTGAACACTTCTTGTGTAATTAACAGTCTTCCAAAAGGTTTATATGTACTAACTCATTTGATCATCACAATGGCCTTATGGGGTAGGTATTATCATTATCCCCATTTAGAAGGTGAAACGACTGAGGCTTAGAGAAATAAACAACTTGTCAAAGGTTACACAGCGGGTTAAAACCCACCTTATATCTCACTTAAGTGTGATTATGTTGTTTTTTAAGTAATTAAGTCGGGGCAATATATTTCTTCCCCATATTGTTTTAAATAACAGCTTTATTGAGATATAATTCACATACTATAAAATTCACCCTTTCAAAGCACAAGATCCTGTGGTTTTTAGTATATTCACAAGTTGTGTGTTGATCACCAATATTTAACTCAAATATTTTTATCACCCAAAAAAGAAACCCAATATTCATTAGCAGTCATTCCCCATTTCCTTCTCTCCTCAGCCCTTGGAAAACACTAATCTATCTTCTGTCTCTATGGACATTTTCTATACGTGGAATGATACAATATGTGGCCTTTTGATACAGGCTCTGACTTAGCATAATGTTTTCAAGGTCCGTTCATGTTGTAGCATGTATCAACTTCGTTTCTTCCAAAGACTGAATAATATTCCATTGTATGGCTATACCCCGTATTGTTTATCTATTCATTGTTGATGGATATTTGGACTGTTTCCACTTCTTGGCTATTGCAAAAAATTCTGCTATAAACATTCATAAAGAAGTTTTTGTATGGACATGTGTTTTCATTTCTCTTGAGTATATACCTAGGTGTGAAATTTCTGGGTCATATGGTAACTCCACCTTTGACATTTTGAGGAACTGACAAAACTGTTTACTAGAGCAGCTGCACTATTTCACATTCCCACCATTAGTGCATGAGGGTTGTACTTCTTCCACAACCTCACAATAACTTGTTATTATCCATCTTTTTTATTATAGCCAACCTAGTAGGTATGGAGTGATGCCTCATTGTAGTTTTGGTTTGCATTTCCCAAAATAATAATAATGTGAAATATCTTTTCATGTGCTTAGTGACTATTTGTATATCTTCTTTGAAGAAATGTCTCTTCAAGTC